ACACTCTTTCTAATTGGTTAAAATTTACTAAAAAAACACGGAAGTTGGTGGATCTCACACCCTATTTAATAATTCTCTCTCCTGATTTTTTGATTTTCAAAATATTTAACTAATAAGAGAAAATGTATTAAGAGAAGTGTGTTAAAGAATATGTCACTAACATTGTTCTAGCTATATAATTACACAACGCCACTAGCCTCAGTTTAAAAACAAATAGAGTGCTCATCATGTTTATTAAGAAATAGCACAATAAAGAAGCAAAATGACCAGCATGTTTATGTTGTTGAGGACCAACAAGCTGAACAACATAGAGGAACAGACCCGGTGCTCCCTGATCTAAAATGTTGCACAGGAAGTGGATACCTTGCAGTGCAAAAGTAGGCGTTCTATTGCTTAGACAGAGGCACAGAACTATACATAACAGATAAAATGATGATGCTGCGAGGTCCACAACTAATGAGTCTTTGATAATGATCTGGTTATATAGCCTTCTCTAAACAAAATACTCGTCGAGCTTTGGATTTCCATATGGGATAATTAAAAGGGAACCTTTGAAGATAAGGACATAAGAGTAAGTTAGAAACTGAAAAAATGATTGACAAGAGAACTAGCCAGAAGAATTCAAGATTTGTCATCCAAATTCTCCAGTCTCAATGGGCTCAGAAACAAATCAACTCAAAACAAAATAGACCATAGCTCATTTGTTTATCATTCAATGTGCGCTCTTTGAAGTAGAGACTAGAGAGTTAGGAAAGGCCTCTGATCCGAACTTCTTAGATGATGTGTCATTGAAGGATAGTTTAAAAGAATTTTACACTAGTACAACAAAAGCTTGATCTCACTTGGTGAAGTTGGCTATATTGATCACGTAGAACCATTTGGCTTGGTTAAAAATCAAATTCTAAAGATATTATTCACCACAAGATCTCATTTCACAGTTTCAACCAAAATCCTTCATCTCCTCCTCTATCCCCTTTTCACTTGGCTAAAAACCATGCAATCAACTGTATTTTTTTAGTGCTTCTAATTGATTTCTTTGCATGTATCCAAACTATCTAAACTTTATATCCTTTTTTCCTCTATAGATGCCATACTAATATTTCCTCATATACAAAATATACAATTACCTCATAATCATATCTTGTCCCTTCCCTGTATGGCTACACCTCCATCTTAACATTCTCATTTTGTTACTCTCAGCTTTTTTTTCCTTGTTATCCTTATAGTCCTACATTTACTATCATGCATAATTAGACTATAGCAGAACGACAGAATTTCCCTTTGAGTTTGGTAGGTATTCAGCAATAACAAGTAACCCCCAATGCTTTTCTCTATTTTAACTACCTAGCTTGTATCATGTGTATGACTGCTTGATTATCTTCCCCTTCATTATGTAATAATCCCAGAAATCTACACAGAAAATTGTAGTATGACATCTTTTCCCATTTTTACCTCCAATCATTCTCCTCTTGTTTCCTGGTAAAATTACAATGCATTAGTCCTACTCAATCAAAAACTATTTCATTCCAAAGCCTCTCTCCAAATCTCAAGTTTAGGGTTGATCTCTTCTCTTAATTCCTTAATAAAAAAACATATCAAGAATTTTACACTATTAATGAATCAAATTTTAATCCCTGAAAGAATATATCCTTGTTAAATAAACATCGAAGGACTGGCATGAGTTACATTGACATCCACCGTCCACACATTTTGATTTAACTATAACTGCTCTTAATTACTAAGTGCCACGATGAATTAGTCTTTAAAGGAAAGTGTAATAACCATTTAGTCACTGAAGTGTTGTTTTCAGACACCAAATTCTCAAGAAGCCTACAAAAACTTCCCAAGTAACAAAATGGATTTTGTTTTAGTCACCTAGAATCGATCAAAGAAATTCCCTTTTAGGTTTAAGGTCCTTAATGCATTTCACTTGATATAAATCTCCTGTTTACTTTTCCCTTCGTAATAGACCTCTATACAACCTGTTTATTTATGAGAATTCAGGCAAGTTCTATCATGGTGATTTATCATTTAATACCCAATTCTCACATAAATCCACCATCATGTTGCAGAGTTAATAGTTTGGATGGCAGACATTTTTTTATAAAAAGAAGCTATTTTCAAGAGATTTTGGCTAGAAGATTCAAAATTTTGAAGTCCTGGAAGCATGATTGAGTGTGGAAGGACGTGCAAAAGGTATTATGCATGGCCATTTTGAGTTGCACGCCCTTTCAAAAATGCACATAGCTTAATGTCAATGTATGCAGGCCAGACAAGAATATGCACTTGCGCTGTTTCTTTTTAGCTTTCATAGCAAGCCACCATATAAATACTCTTAATTAGGATTCTGGTAGTATTATCCTGCACTATTCCCCTTCAGATTCAGCATTCCAATACTTTATACACCCTTTTTGGAGAGGGATAGAGGTATGGAGACGATATCTTTGAAGAGGACCAATTGAGGAGAATACAAATACAATACGAGCTTCTCTGGAAAAAGGGTTTCTAAATTTTTTCTATCTCTTCCTTGATTATTTTTAAAATTGGATTTTGTGTTTAATTCCTGTTATGCATGATTATTGCATTAGAAGAGACTCTTTTTCTATCTCTAATTATTAACTTTAGTAGAGACCCTTTCTTTTATTAGGGGGAATTATAATCGATTGCAAATCAAGGCCTTAGATCTTATCTTTGCGTTCTCAATATACTTACTGCATCTTTTTTTTTTTAAAAAAAAATAAATTAGCTAGTCTTGATAACCAATCAAATTCGTTTGTCCAGATAGCCAAGAATCTTGCAAATTTAGTACATAATATTTGATCTCTATGGATACGATGCTTGGCACTAAAATCCCATTATTACTTTTATGACAGGGTGTACTTGCCATAAGTATATTTTGCAACGTCCCTTGGCATATTTGTATATATGTATTTTCCTCAAAAAGATTTGGTTTTCATCAGGCAAACCTCCAGCTTATTATCTTTCTTAGCTACTTCCATTTTCCTATTTTTATCGCAAACTAAAGCATCCTCCTCCTTTAGTTTTAACATTCTCTTGAAAAATTCCTGAGAACATTTTTCTATACTCCAGCGTTAAAAATCCCTTTGATTCACCAAAAAGCACGTCTCTTACCCTCTAAACCCCTTATCATACTAGCCATCTCTTCTTACACTAGATGTTCAATCCCTTGTGTCCTCATAATCCCTTCTAGTAAATTTCTCTAAAACACCAATCATTACCCTTCACTTAATCCTATATCTTGATTCTTGAAGTTAGTTTCATTTTTCCTTTCCTACTCGTGGCATGCACATAAAGGACCAAAACCCCATGCTAGGTAGTTAGGTTCTCTATTGGTACACCTTTTCAACCTTGCAAACCCTTTTGTTGTCACTTGTATTTCTGTCATTGAAAAGTCTTAACATCAATTTTATTTGACAATCAATTTATGAAAAAAATGCATCATGGTGGCAGCCAAGAAGCAGAAATTTCTCTATATACAACTATATTGCCATGGAAAATGCCAAATTAAAAAGGTATTTAAACCAAACTCTATATTTGAGTTGCATGTTCAACATAATAAATGTTTAACTTCAAATCCAATTATTTGACAAAGGTAAAAGAGCAGAGACGCTGATCAAGAAAAATGTTTCTTTCTCCCAATAACAGTTTTTGCTCAGACTGTGCCAACTGCCAATAACTATATGGAGACACAGATATTTTCTACTTACAAATTTAATATAATTTGATATTTTGGAACAAGACCAACTTGAGAGATTGAATCAATACTATGATTATCATCACTTGATAAACCAAATCAATAAATCAGAGATTTAAAAGTAACAGAGTGTAACATTCAATTTTGAAAGTCACTGAGTTTGAAAAATAAAATGCATGTGGAAATTATGAAGAAAAGGAAAGCATGTGGTTTTGGGTCTGTCGAAGTGTAAAATAAAAATGCAAAGGAAGAAAACCTTGATGGAATAAGCCATTGGCAACAACGTATCTGGATTCATTGCATCCTCAGGGAAGTTTTTCAAGGCATGTATCAGTTTTTCAAAAGGTAGTTTAATCTGATAAACAAATAAAACAAAAACAGTGAGCAGAAATTTACTTTGATTTATAAGTTTATAACAGACACAGGTCACATGATACAAACCAAATCATCATGGCAGTACTTTAATAGGGCCAAGCCAACTTTAAAGACAATTTTAACACCCTGAAAGCATAAGAAAGTCATCATTATAGATCCATGTTTCTAACTGAAATGGTTCTTCATAGGGAAAGCACGGCTAACCTCATAGAGAAAGACATCCCAGATTCGAAGAGCCAAATGAAACGGAAAGGAATATGAAAATACAGTTATGAACCACTGGCTTGCATACATACTAGGATTTATCATTTCCTTGGAAAAATGCTCTCCCAACTTTGGTAGATGCTCCCTCACCAAGCATTCAAATTGAAAGAGGTATTGCTGTACCAGAGGCAACCCTGCCTGCAATGAAAATAACAGTAATTGTGCTAAGAAGAGAGTTATTATCATCAAAGAGTATATAATAGTAACAAGAACCATGCAATTTAATACATATTCAGTTCTTTCCTCATAGAATAGTATCTTATAGAATGCAAGGATCATACATTGCCACCATCAATAATCGGCACAAATGAATTCATGAAACAAAATAGTACCAGATACAAGCCCTCCATTGGAGCATGAACGGCTCCTTTCAGCAATGCCACCAACAACCAAAATGCATCCTCCTCACTCATATAAAGAAGCAAAAGCCCGGCTAAAAACCCCATCCCCTGGATTTTTAAAACGATCAATACTATGAATTACTTTGCAACAAGCACAAGATGGTGATGGGTTCCTGAGTAAAACCTGAACATATCCTACATCTCTGTCAAAGACCGAGTAAGCTTTTAGAACATTATAGAGGGACCGCTGCCCAGGTCCATGTCTCTGTTGAAAGAATACATGTGAAGGGAAGGTCCGAGAAATGTCTCTAATTATATCCAGTTCAGAGGCTGATGTCTCATATATGACTAGTTGCTGCAATATGATGTCTTGTCAGTGCAAACTCCCAAACATGGAGATAAAACTCGAGATAATTTCAAAAAGAAAAGGAGGAAACCTCATTATAAATAATAGGTTAGTTCAAACTATCTCTGCAATTCCATGTAACATGATTCTTTTCGGAACACAACTCCAAAGTAGGATTTCATTGGAGCAGTCAAATAAAAATTGATCAAAAAAACTCGAATGATGTACACGCTGAAATTCAAGTTACCTTTTGAGCTATGTATTACCATAAAAAATACCATTCAACTTAAAACACCCAGCATAACCACCATGGTGATGACACTGTGACAGCAAACACAGGTACCCAAAGTGATAAAAAAAACAAAGATGTGCAAATAAAAATGGATAATATTATTCAATTTCTATTTATTGGAGAACTATAAGAAACAGTGTGAAAAGCATAGACCATACTTAACAGGATATTCTACAAAATATATCAAAAAGACAAAAAATATCATCGATATAAATTATCTTGATTACCTCATAAACTCCAGGGTTCATCAGCAATAGGTCTCGACTTCCAGATATTAACTGCCATACAAGGCCTCTTAAACAATCAGGAATTCCTTTCCTTATACGCCTTTTAACTACATGAGGTTTTCTCCTTAGATAATGCTTCCAATCACTGCCACCAACCCCAATCATCTTCCTCCATTTTCTAACCTTTCTCTCCTCCTTATATCTGACGAAAGATAAATGGTAATACAGGTAAAGTCACTGGCCATATTTGTTATGCTCATTCATGCCTAAAACCCAGAAAACACATAAAAAAATCAATGGGAAAAAAAACAAAATACCTTTCATACTCATACGCTGATCTACTCTTGACTATGCCATCAGAAGTATTAGCATCCTGTTTTACAAACCCAAATCTATCTAATGGTCTTGGTGAAGGAACAGGACCTGGTTCATAGTCATCTAACTTTTTCTTTTCCATTCAAAAACCACAAATTAGCCTTCTTAAACCAAAAGTCAAACGACATAGCTTGCTTCCCTAAACATCACCATGAGAAAAACCTGAAAATTTGAAGTACAAAAGAAAAGTGTCATTATCATTTTACAAAAACTACTGAAATAAATAAACAAACAAATAAGTCTTCCATACACATAGTTGCAGTATTTGCTCATTTAATCTAAACTATACACAGCGAGTATGCAATAACCAGGATAAAATGTATACGATAGTACAGTTTTCTGTTCCATAACCCATAAACATAATATAACAAAAGCAACCAACAACTTTATCCAATTATCCTTTATGCTAATCCTAATTATCTACAACATGGCACACGCCAAAACACAATAATGGAGTAACTGAATATTGCAAACTCATTAAGATCATAAATGCAAAACATACATTTTTATTCTTCATTCAGTTACATATAAGTGAAGCCTTGTTCTACACAGAGGAATATGATTATGATGTGCTCCCAAAGGCAAAGACACATCATGGGTAAATTTCAGTTTATATTTTTCCATTGAGCATTATCCACAAAGCCCAATATGAAGAGAACAGTTACTGTGCTAACAATACAGATACTAATAAGAAGCTTAAATTTTTCATCAACCATACCATTATTCCGTTGGAACCTAATGCCTATTACTTCGAATTGGAAGAAATCACGATAGATAATTGGATCCAACGGTGAGAGAAGAAACAGAAGGAGCACCCAAATTGTGAATCACGCGAAGAAAGAAGAAACGGTGAAGAAAAGAGGAAGATCAACGGTTGAATTGGTGAATATTGGGAAATGGGATATGAAGGGAAGAGTGGGGCTGTGAATTTGAGGGAACGCAGAAAATGAAGATTGAAGAAAAGGGTGTGAATTGGGAAGCCGGCAACAACCTCGGAAACTGGGAATGAGTGGGGATGCGCGTTTTAACAAGAAGAAACAACAAAAAATAAATAAAAATATGGAGGTGTAATTATTTTGACTAAACAAACGTATTTATATTTTTAATAGGGGAATAAAGATATTTCATGTATGTATATTTAATTATCTTTATATTTATTTAAAAATATTTATAAAAAAAATTAATATTTATAAGATTATTTAGTGTTGTGTTTGGTCTTTAAATCCTTAAATCTTAAGGTTTAAGTTTGAGTTTTGTGTTTGTGATAATAGTTAATTTTTAATAATATTTTTTATTATTTAAAAATTAAAAATAAAAATAATTTAATTTGGTATATATATTTTTAAGATTATTTTATCCGTAAATTTTTAAATAATAAAAATATTATTAAAAATTACTATTGTTACAAATCCAAAATACAAACTCAAGATCTAAAAGTTTAAGAACTAGGCACAAAATTAATTGATACAATAATCATGATAATTCTTAAACATCTTTAAACAAATATAAAAATATTGAGATATGAAGTGTTTTTAACCTACTAGTAATAATAAATAAATAGAGAGTGACATTTTATTTATCAAAAAGAGTTATAAAAGACCATAATATGTAGAGGAGTTTGCTTAACAATTGAGCGATAAAGAAATAAAAAGAAAAAAAAAAAAAGCGGTCACTCCTTTTTTTATGGTCAGTTACAATTATATAATTAAGAGTATAATTGTCTAAAAAAAAAAGTTAAATATTATAATAGATATATGTTGTTTTTGACTCGAAGAATTCTATTTTTTTATCTATCGAAATTATATTGATGACAATAACGTTTGAACTTAGAAATATTGTATACTATTTCATTTCACTATTAGGTCAATCATAATGGTTTAGAGTCCTGCTTAATAAATATTAAAAACAAAATTATGTCATTAATTAATAAATATGAGACTTACTTGCACTTTTTGTCACCTAAATTTTACAATTTCACGAATTTGGTCATTAAGATGTATTTTTAAATTTAACACAATAAATTAAATATTTTAATACATCAACCTTATTACTGTCACAGTTTAATTTAGAGTACACCTCGTCATAGGAATAAAACATGCAATAATTTTGGTGTACTTTAGTTAACAAACAATTTTGTTATTACCCATTAAACTTCATTCATGGGATCACCATTTATTTGGAGATGGGTGTTCATTATTGCAACTAGTTGATGGACTTTAGTTCCATTCCCCTTGATGATTCAAGTACTTGTTGATGCGTTAACCATTTTGTGAGCAGATCTGCAAGATTATTTTCAAACCTGATAAAATCAACAAAAATAACATCATAAGATATTAAATTTCTAATATACTTGTGCCTTATTCTCAAGTGCCTTATTTTTCATTGAAGTTTTTCTAGTAACTTTAGCAATAATAACTTGACTATTATAATGCATTGAGATTGGAGGTATAGGTTAATTTAACAAAGGCAAATCATATAATAAACTTTTAAGAAATTCATCCTACTGACAATATCAAAAGCAATTATTCCAGCTTCTATAGTAGAACGAGAGATAATAGTTTGTTTAGTAGATTTCCAAGCTATTACACCTCCAGCTAAAGTAAAGACACAACCACTAGTAGATTTAGTTTTGTCAGAATCATAAATCTAATTTGCATCACTAAAACCTTCAATTACAACAGGATAACATGCATAATAAATGCCATAATTAATAATTCCTTTAAGATATTTAAATAAACTTTCTAGAACAAGCCAATGTGAATGATCAAGGTTTATATGAGTATATCTTCATAATCTATCAACAACATATGCAATGTTTAGTCTAGAATAATTAGACACATCCAATAAGGAACCAATAATTTGAGAGTATTTAAGGGAGAGATACCTCCACCAATATTTTTCTTCAATTTTATATTAGAATCAAATGGGGTAGAAACATGTTTCACATCAAAATAATTAATTTTCTTTCACAATTTTTCAATATAATATGATTGTATCAAAACAATACTAACATGATTCTTAATTAACTTAATGCTTAAAATAACATCAACAAGACCAAGATCCTTCATTTCAAAATTACTAGACAAGAAAATTTTCACATCATTTATAACATGTAGATTACTACCAAAGATTAAAATAACATCCACATAGAGGCATAAAATAACACATGAATTATCATCAAATTTTTTTACATAAACACATTTATCACTATTATTAAATTGAAAACCATATGACGAAACAATTTGATCAAATCTATCATGTCATTGTTTAGGTGCCTATTTTAAACCATACAAAAATTTAACAAGTTTTTAAACTTTATATTTTTCATTCCAGGTTCTATAAAACATTCAGGTTGATTCATATAAATTTCTTCTTCCAAGTCACCATTTAAGAAAGTAGTTTTTACATTCATTTGATGAATTTCCAAATTAAAAACACAAGCAAGAGAAATTAAAACTCTAATAGTAGTAACTTTAGAATTAGGAGAATGTGTATCAAAGAAATATACACCTTCTACTTTTTTATAACCAATAACAACAAGTTTTGCCTTAAACTTATCTATAGATCCATCTATTCTTAATTCTTTTTTTCCTGAAAAACCCATTTACAATCTATACTTTTGTAGCCAGGAGGAAGGTCAGTCAAAAACCAAGTTTTATTGAGTTTAAGAGAATCTATTTTATCATTAATGACTTCTTTCCAAGAAGGTACATCAACAAATCTTATGGCTTCACTATAAGTTTTAGGATTATCTTCAAGTAAGAAAGAATAAAATTTATGACCAAAATTTTTAGCTTTTCTAATTCTTTTTTACTTATTATAGGTTCAACATCGTTGCCAACATTATTGCTAGAAGGTAAAATAGAACTAGAAGTATCAGAAACAAGTTAAGACAAATTATTCTTCAAAGGAAAAATATTTTCAAAGAAAACATCTCTAGATTCCATAATTATATTATTAGAAATTTCAGTAACTTTAGAATTAGTAACTAAAAATCAATAAGTAGAACTATGCAAATTTGGTTTTGTATTTTTCCAAAGTTCATAAAGGGTTTTATTTGTGAATGAGTTCAAGCAAGTAAGTTTCCTTTTGAACAAAATTTTGAAAAGATTTTCTAGGTTGTTTACCTTGAACACAAACTTCACATTTTGTTTCAATTCATTAAAAGATTTAGGAATAAGATCAAATGTCATCATTCTTTTAATAGATTTCAAGTTAACATGTCCAAGTCTACCATGCCAAGTGTCACAATATTTAACATTTGAAACAAATGATGAAGAAATGCTAGAATGTTTATTAATAAAAGATGACATGAGATTAAGTTTAAACAAAACATCACTAATATATCATTTCCCAACAAAAGAACCATGTTGAGAAATTACAACTCTATTATTTTTTAAAACAACTTTAAAACTTTGTTGAACTAATAAAGCAATACTAATCATTTTTTTTCTAATTTCAGAAACATGAAAAACTTCATCTAAGACAAGACAATTTTCTAAAGATAATTATAATTCTACTTGGCCTAGACCAATAACACATGCTAGGCTCTTATTCCCCATGTTCATAGTACATGTGTCACATTTCTAATATGAAAAGAATAATTTTTTATCAGCACACATATGAACATTAGCTCCAAAGTCAATCCGCCAATCATTTGAGTTATAAATAAAATTAACTCTGGACTAGTGACATGATACCTGTTAGATGAGGAATCTGAGCTAGTAGCGGTAATAACATTAGCTTGAGGCTGAGAAGATGATTTTGGATCAGATACAATGTCTTTTGGTTGACAACGACGATGAAAATAACCTTTAGCAAAATGATTGTTTCTTCCACAAACAAAGAAAAAGACTTATTTCCTTGAATTTTACTCTTTGGTTTGTAGTTGTTATTAAAAGCCTTGTTTTTATTTTTGGAGAAATGAGAGCTATGACCAAACTTATTATTAGAAAAATCATATTTTTTTTTTGAAAAACTTTTGTTTAGACTTATTAGAATTTTCGACTAAATGAGCCTTAGCTTGAAAATGAGGTTTATGAGAATCCTTTTGTGAAATACGACACTTATCTTCAATTTGCAAAGAAACCAATAAGTTAGATACAATGAAATGATCAAGTTTATGCCTAAGGTTTCTTGCAAATTCAAACCAAGAAGGAAGGTAGTTTAAAAATTAAAGGACTAATAAGCATTATGTCAGGTAAAATAATTTCTTTCATCTTCATGTCATAAAATAATATTTTCAAATTCATGAACTTGGTTAAAAAAAAGTTTTTCATCTTCCATTTGAAAATAAATCATTCTTTCACAAAAGTATCTTCTTAAACCCTTTTCAATAGAACCATATTCACTTTAAGAGCATCCCATAACTCTAAAGTAGATTTTGTATGATAAAATATTTTATAAATATTATTAGATAGGGCACTCAAAATACCACCATGACATAAAATATCTTTGTCACTAGAAGTATCATCAAAACAGCTAACTTTAACCAAAGCACCATTAAAACTTTTTTTAGATTTTCCATTTCAAATGACAGAAAATAAACTCAACTCTATAAGCCAAAATTTCATCTGTTGTTGCCAACATAACAAATTTTTACCATTAAATTTGTTTGGCTTACTACTCAAAGACTTTAAAATATTCATTACATATTGAACAAGAAAAAAAGATTGTTGGAAAAAATGAATTAATAGAGCATAAACAAATAAATAATTACATTTATGAAGAAAGCCAATATCAACAGAAAATAAACTCAACTCTATAAGCCAAAATTTCATCTGTTGTTGCCAACATAACAAATTTTTACCATTAAATTTGTTTGGCTTACTACTCAAAGACTTTAAAATATTCATTACATATTGAACAAGAAAAAAAGATTGTTGGAAAAAATGAATTAATAGAGCATAAACAAATAAATAATTACATTTATGAAGAAAGCCAATATCAACAATACAATGAATACTTCAAAATTAAAACAAAATAATTAGTAACAACCAATTAAGCACGAAGAGTAAATTAGAATAATAAATAATAAGATTAGAGTAACTT